GCCTGATGGGGGCCTGAGTGGCAGCAGAAACCGATGCAGCCCTCCCGCGCTGCCTTGTTTTCAGAGCTAGATAAGAAGGCGAACCTCCTGAAGTGCGAGTACTGTGGGAAGTACGCCCCTGCAGAGCAGTTTCGCGGCTCCAAGAGATTCTGCTCCATGACTTGCGCGAAGAGGTACTGTAGGCACCCCGCCTCACCCCCCTCCATCTAACTTTACACCCCTTCCCTAGGATCTGCTCAAGGCTCATAGTTAATGTCTCCTCTGCTTTCATTCCCTTCCCCAAATCGGCCCTTAAAATCCCAGTTCACATTTAGTGCAGGGGAGCAAGGTGGTCTTCTCTGGTAGCACTCATGACCTCCTGTACGTCCCCTGACCCGTAGGTATAATGTGAGCTGTAGCCACCAATTCCGGCTGAAGAGGAAAAAAATGAAAGAGTTTCAAGAAGCCAACTATGCCCGCGTTCGCCGGCGCGGACCCCGCCGCAGCTCCTCCGACATCGCCCGTGCCAAGATCCAGGGCAAGCGTCACCGGGTGAGCTGCCGGTGCGGGGCGCACTACCTCAGAAATGGGCCTTTTTCCTTCCTCTTCCCCACAGGGCAGTTCCTTTGCCCAGCTAAAATGAGTATGAGACCAGAACTCCAGTTTTGTGTTGATTGCCTTACTCCAAATTCCAAGAGATCCTGACCTCTGTGTCCCTTCTCACCTTACTGGTTGCCTGTTAATCCTCATGCTGTGTTTGAGGAGGAAAAATCTAGGGCAGTCGTTGGTAGAAGGGGAGAACCGAGAGAGGGATACAGTTCATACTTGAAAGGCACTCGAGAGCGGACTGGTGACTTCGGGCGTTTGCACGTGAAGTACAGATTATTTCACTTGTGCTAAGATTAGTTTTTCCTCTGTGCCCGATAGTAATCCAAACCCAGGGTGGCTGGGGGAGGAGAGGGAAACCTCATGACACTGTTCCTGTGACCTGTTTTGCATTTTTTTCTGTAGGGTCAAGAGGACTCTAGCCGGGGTTCAGATAATTCCAGTTACGATGAAGCACTCTCTCCAACATCTCCTGGGCCTTTATCCGTGCGAGCAGGGCATGGAGAACGTGACCTGGGGAACCCCAATACAGCTCCGCCTACACCAGAATTACATGGCATCAACCCTGTGTTCCTGTCCAGTAATCCTAGCCGTTGGAGCGTAGAGGAGGTGTATGAGTTTATTGCTTCTCTACAAGGTATCGCGGGCCTGTCCACCAGGACCCAGGTCACCTATATTGCTTCATTTTCCTACAGTTTTCTTTAGGTCATCCCACAGGGGCTTTTGTAACTGGAAATGTTAATGGACTTAAGCAGTGGAGGCTTAAGTATGGTATGACGAAGGCTGTACTCTTGGTATTTATTCCGGTTTTGTCCACAGCCTGGTTTCCCAGTTTTCCTGGGTTGACTGTCTGCTGTGTCAGTAATTTTGCAACAGTTGATTTTCATCTATGATTCTTAACCAATAATTTTTAAAGTATTTTTTTATATGTGATTAATTGGGATACCCACCACGGATAAAAGACTTTTCTCAGCGGAGAAGGGGATTAGGAAATAATGGGCCATTGTTGCCCTGTTCTCTTCAAGGCAGGATTATTTATAAGCTATTCTTTTTTAAAAAAAAATAAATTTATTTATTTAATTTATAATTTTTGGCTGTGTTGGGTCTTCGTTGCTGTGTGCGGGCTTTCTCTAGTTGCGGCGAGTGGGGGCCGCTCCTCACTGCGGTACACGGGCTTCTCATCGCAGCGGCTTTTCTTGTTGCGGAGCGTGGGCTGCTCTAGGTGCGCGGGCTCAGTAGTTGTGGCACATGGGCTGAGTAGTTGTGGCACACAGGCTCTAGAGCACAGGCTCAGTAGTTGTGGTGCACAGGCTTAGTTGCTCCGTGACATGTGGGATCTTCCCGGACCAGGGCTAGAACCCGTGTCCCCTGCATTGGCAGATAAGCTATTCTTGACAAAGGGATGGCTTTCTCCAGCAGGAAAACCATCCTACCCTTCTTGGTATTTTGTCTGAATTCTGGGCCCTTAAAGATGTCAAGACGGCTCTTAACTTTTGATTTTCTTGCCAGTGTCAAAGAAAACATATATATATTGCTCCCGCCCTTTGCCCCCCTCAGGTTATCTGAATGAAGGTATCTCTGGTTGAACAACTTAGGTGTTTTATCTTGGCTTTTTTTAAAAAAAAAAATTAGTTAATACTTCGGCTGTGTTGGGTCTTCATTGCTGCGCGTGGGCTTTCTCTAGTTGTGGCAAGCAGGGGCCGCTCCTCGCTGCGGTGCACGGGCTTCTCGTTGTGGTGGCTTCTTATTGTGGAGCACAGGCTCTAGGTGCGTGGGCCTCACTAGTTGCTGCATGTGGGCTCAGCGGTTGTGGCCTGCGGGCTCTAGAGCACAGGCTCAGTAGTTGTGGTACACGGGCTTAGTTGCTTTGCAGCATGTGGGATCTTCCCGGACCAGGGATCGAACCCACGTACCCTGCATTGGCAGGCGGATTCTTAACCACTGCGCCACCAGGGAAGTCCCTGTCTTGGCTCTTTTTGTTTTTATAAATAGCCAGTTGCTCTGATTTCATTTTGCTTCCAAAGCTTGCCATGTCAGGCCATTGTATTACTGAATTTAGGACAAGTACTTTGGTGCTACCGTGTAGTTTCTCATACATATTCCCATCATTTCCTTCTAGGCTGCCAAGAGATTGCAGAGGAGTTTCGTTCCCAGGAGATTGATGGACAGGCCCTTTTATTACTTAAAGAGGAACATCTTATGAGTGCCATGAACATCAAGCTGGGCCCTGCCCTCAAGATCTGCGCCAAGATAAACGTCCTCAAGGAGACCTAAGGTGGCCCTCTTGCACAAACCAGCCTAAGGCAGACACTCCCCACTGTCCAGGTTATAACCTGGTGCCAGCAGAGACTTCACAGGGAAGACAGAGCTGTTCCAATTATGTATGTCTTCTGTAGAGGGGATTACTGAGACAGGGAAGACAAGTGCAAGAATTGGTCGCTGGTGCTACATGGTGGCAGCTTTGACATTTCTCTGGGTTCTACTTTATTTTTTAAATCTTTACGATTCTCACCTACCCTAATCCAATCTTTATAAAAGAGGCAGTCTAGAGAACTAGGACTGCTCAGCCTTATCCTGGAGCGGAGTGTCTAGCCAGGGTCAGAATTCTCCTAGAGGAGGAATGTACAGTATGGTGAGGCGAGGAAATGGGTGGAATGTAGGTGTGCCATAGCAGTGGGGGAGCTAGGGTTTTCTAGCTTGTGTGACACAAGTAGCAAAATCTGGCACTCCCTCTTCCCTCTGGATCGTGTGACTGTAGCTGTGGCCCGGAGTTTTGTTGTCACTCCCTTAGTATTGGATATTTTCTTCTGCATCCACGGCAGGGTCACCAGCCAGGGTAGAGACTGGGTTGGCATCATTCCGATTTGCTGCAGGGACTAAACGTTTTGGGCACACATGTGGCTGTTGTCTTTCTTTCCGCATCCCGCTGCTCCTTTCCAGTTTATCTGTTGTCTCCTACCCCACCTTTCTTTTCCATTCCAACTCTGCTCTGTCCTATAGCTTTATAAAGCAGGAGCGCGTGGGACTGAGGTCAGGAATAGAAGTACCTGCCTTAGGCGCTATACCTTATACAACAAAAATATTAAATATTTTTTTTCCTCCTCAGTAAAAGGATGAAAATTGGTCTCAGTTGTCTGTTACTCCATCATTCCAGTGTATCTACCCTCTTCTTTCACACAAATGACTAGGCCAACATGTTTTTTTTTAAATCTTTTAAGTGGTTTTGTACAAAAAAATGTATATATATATTTTTTGCATTTTTAAAACACCAGAGTGTGGGGGAGGGATGCAAACAAATAACAAAAAAGATGCTTTTATAACATTATTTTCCCTGTTTAGAAAGAAGAAAAAAAATCATTCCAATAGTATTTAAAAGTCCAAAGATGAAATCATTTCATTTCCTTCTCTAAAGGCTAAAAAAGGCCCCTGCCTATTGATTCCATCCTCCTGTGTCCAGTGGAGCCATGTTACTCTTCAGTGGCCCAGGCTCACTATCACACAACGATCAGGCCAGGTTTCTGGGCACACGGCCTGAACAGAAAGGTGGACGCATCAGAAGATTAAGACCGTCTCCCCACAGAAGTAATGTCATGGGCAAGAAGACACGTCCCTGAGCCAGAAAAAGGGACAAGTGCTGCAGCTGCCGCAGCCAGGGCGGAAGGTGGCAGAGCCCTGGATGTCCCACTTCTGCCTCCATTCCCTTTCCAGAAGACTAGGGGCAAAAAAAAAAAAAAAAAAAAAACACAAAAAAAAAACCGAAAAAAAAAAAAAAAAAAAAAAAAAAAAAAAAAAAAAAAAAAAAAGAGCAAAAAAAAAAAAAAAAAAAAAAAGTCAAAATGACATGCCTATGAAGGAAAGTGCAACATGTTTAGAAATACTGATACAGGGAACATTTTAGGAGTAAGAAAAGCTTTGCCAGCTTTGACTGCAAGTGGGAGAAGAAAGTCGTCAAGGAGATCCCACTACCAAGGTAAACAGACCTCCCTTTTCTGGAACCCCGGCAGCATAGGAGGTCAATTTCAATGTCCCTTTCCAATGGGCTGGACTCCTGGATTAGGCATTTTGGCTGCAGATGGACCAATAACCTTAGACTACAATCCGGGTCCTAGCTCCAGCTATAAAGTCACTCCAATGCCAGCAAATGATGTATGGTACCTTGTAATCCTCTAATTGGGAAATTTCAAATTTTCCCATCCTAATCCCAGAGGTGGGAGAATTAAGTTTACGACATCACCTGGCTCAAACCAAATGGTAGTACTTGGACTAGAACCAAGTAATCACTGCAAAATAGTTCCAAGCAGCAAGAAATTACATCCAGATTCTCATGGAGACTACTACTGTAGGGTACAGAGTAACAGCATGAAAGCAATCAAACCTTGTATAAATAGTGTTTCTTTGCTTTTCTTTTTTTTAAATTAAAGAAATCCAGTGTCTCAAAAACTTGTGAAAATGTGTTTAAAAAAGGAAGGGTCAGGGAGCCTGCCATACCCTTTTGCTCATGATAACTCCCCTACCTGTACTTTGTGATACCAAGAGATAGTGCAACAGCCTCTGCTGTCATTGGCCCTATTATATTATCACTGTCCTACAACTGTACCTCTCAGGAGGGAAAACAAATAGGGAACAAAGGGAAGGCATTTCTGCTACTGACAAGTGGATGCAAACCAAAAGCAAACCAGAAAGCAAGAGCAATATTAAGGGTGAGATGAGAGACGAGCGGAGGCTGCTTAAGAAACCTGGCTGAGGATGCTTTGGTTTGGGGGCTGAAGAAGCCGGACATTTAAAGTGCAATCACATCGGTAATAAATGATCATCCCTTTCTTCCGACTCCTCCCCCAGCTGGTCATCCCCCACACCGCGATATGCAGCAGGCACGTTTCGGGGTTTAGATCGGCACACAAAGTCACAACCATCCTGTAGGGGGAAAGGAAAGGAAGGAAACGATCATTTGAAATCAGCAGCTTTCAGGTGGGCAGAGCATGTTTATAGTCCAAGAATGTGGCAGGAACTGGTTTTCTCCAGGGATAATGAAGAGAAAACCCCAAAGCTCCAAGAATCAGCTTGAATAGAATGTGGGAAAGAACAGACAGGTTCTAACTTGGCCTCACCCTTTCCTCACCTAGGCCCCTTAAGAGCTGTATCAGGCTCCCAAATCTCAGCAAAAGGACTGCTCTTCCAGCCAAGCCTTAGCAAGGCCAGACACTAAGATGCTATGTTGCTTATCTGTACTAGGGCAACCAACTGTTGGTTTGCTGGGACTTTTGTGGTTTTAGCACCCAATGTCCTGTGTCTCAGGAAACCCCACAGTCTGGGCAAACCAGGATGGCTGGTTATTCATGGACTCAGCCAGCTGCCCTGTTACTTACTGCTACCAGGTTGCCAAGATCCTGCCAGAAGGCCAAGTGGGGAAACTGCTCCATTCCTTTGGCTCCCACCACCAGTCGCTGGTACAGGAACCCCCCGATAATATAGACAGCGATCAGCGATGCAAACCTGTTGAGAGAAAGACATCTATACTCAAAAACCAAGAAATAGTAAGACTCAGATACTAAAGATAATCTCTACTCATTGTTACCTGTTTCCTAAGCTGTGTTCCATAAAAATGAAAGGAAAAAAAAAGGGTAGTCAGTTGAATGAACAAGGGGGCTGGCAGGTCCTTAGAAAACCAATTAGAGTGTCAGTCTGAGAAAACCAAAATGATCAGAATAAAATAAGAGTTTGTGACTCTGACTTAGGGCTGAGAACAGTCACCATTAGATACACAACTCCATTTCTTTAAAAGTTCGAACAATCTAATGGCAGCATATTAAAAACTGTCCAGCCCTCCAGTAGGGAAAAAACCCTACGTCCAAATGCAAATATTTATCGGGGCCAAAACATTAAGTCATTTTTTAAAACTTGCACAGAGTTTAAAGAGGATTTTTACAAGTTATAGTATAACATATACATGCACACACACTATTTGTACCTATAGACCTCCAAGTAATTGTGGAGTTAAAAAAAAAAAAAAAGGTTTGGACTGATAAAGGAAAAAGTACTCACGTGACAAGTAAGATAGAACCCACACTGAGGTGGGAGATCTCTGGAGAACAGGCCAGGCTGCTGTCTATCTCAAAGAGGTAGAAACAATCTTGGACTTTGCCTCGCTCCTCAAACACAGGGTTAAAATTGTCCTGATGACAAGAGGACAGAACACAACATTTATGTTGTGTCTGACACCTGTCTGAAAAAAGCACAAACCCACAAAACCCACAAAACATTTGCTTTCTCCAGGTTCAAAACCTCCTCTTCCATGTATGATGGAACATGGGTGCCTGTGACTCAGGGAAAAGCTGAACTTCTTGTTTTATCTCCTCCGTCCCAATTATCTTGTTCCCTCTGGACAGTCTCTCTCTCCCACCTCAGCCCAGTCCTTTCATCTCCTCTAGGCTCCTAGGCCCCAGGGTGCCTCACCGCTAGGGTGTGTCGATTGCAGGAGATCATCACCACTGCCCGACGCTGCTCCTTGCCACAGTGACTGTCATATTCATCACCCCCTTTATAGATCAGCATGATCCAATTACCTGAAGAGAGACAAGGAAAACGGAGCTTTGGGGTGCAGGAAAAGCAGAGGCAGACCTGGGCACTGTGGTAGAGTGGAAGTGAGTTCAATGAAATTGGCTGTAATTAAAATAACCCTTTCAGGATGAGCTCTGTATACCAGAAACAGCAGCTAAACCTTGCTCCTTTATAACAGCTATGTGTTCCCTCATTAAGACGACTAACAATCAGACGGTCATACAAGAATAACCTTAATTTTCCACAAAAATTAAGGCAATTGATAGTGTAAATACAATTATGATCCATACCTTAATCATGACTCACATTTTCCGAACACCTGCTAACATCAAAAGGAGAGGTTCCATCCAATTACTTGGTGGCAAGGGAAAGCCTAAGATCATAAATTTGCCACAGATAAATTCAAAGCAGACGATTTTGAAGACTGAGGGGCATTTTTCCTTCTTTAGTATTTACTGTGTTCAAATTTCTTTTGCAAAGTATCATTTGATCAATAATCACATGAGGTGAATCAGGTAAGGACTGTGCTTCCAATTTTGCATATGAGAAAACAAAATCAAAAAGGTGAAATGATTTTTCAAAGTCACAGGACAAATAAATATAAGCTGGATCAAAAATCCAGTCTTCTGACCTCTAGCCCCAAACTCTTAACGTTGTTTTTTACTATGTTATTTATAGGAGCAACAATGTGCAGTGAATAATTTATTTATCTGCTTAAGGGAGGAAAATAGACCACAGTTGCTCACATAGTCCTTTCCAGCAATATGATTTTATGATTTTTGAGAAATATTATCAACATAACTCAAGATGGTGGGGAAATTTTTGTAGACTGATTGGTATGCAAAAAAGCTTGATCTCACTTTAAAACAAACACATAAATGTCCTGAGCCTTGGCTGTGGAGGAGCTGTGGAACTAGGTATCCTGAGGTTTGCAGGTATCTCAGGTGAGCTGAACCACACATACCGTACGGTACACTGAGGAGCCTGGGAAGGGCTGAGACATACAGGATTATCAGAAGGATTCAATTAACCGATCAACAGGGAGAATCTTACTTCCGTTGAAGATCTGAGTCCTGTTGAGTCTCCCTACTACTGTCTCCTTCCCAGTACTTTTGTTGATCTGCACCAGGCCTGCCCCAGAGGTGTGATTGCCAGCTTCTCGGCACACCCGGAACATGTAGATATACATGTCTGGGCCCTGGCCCACGGTGCTCTCAAAGCTGTGAGGAGAAGTGGGGAAAAGGAAGAGGACAGTTACAGCTGTCAGCCTTAGGAAGAGCAGTTTCCTTTTTAACAACAACAACAATGATGCACTCAACTTATTTATCTGATGTCACGGTTAAACGTCCTAGTGAATAATATCTGTTGCATCATGAGATATCCATGACGCAGACAGAACACCCTAACTGTTGATGATGACTGATTAAAATACAGCATCCAAGACAGCTAGTATTGTAGATATTTCTAGAATAATTGCTCTGGACTATGCTAAAACATTAGCTACTACTTCCCCTTGAGTAAGGGTCTATGTTCATGAGATACACCCTCCTTCCTTAAAGATTATCTTCAGATTTATATACCAGAAGATTCCTGACACGATGACGCAGCAGGCCTAAATATGTTATTCTGATACTTCTAAATATCGAGGCATCAAATAATGCTTTTTAGTTCCTATGAGCTGGTTTCTTGGACCCAGTCTTGGAAACCGCTACTCTTCTGCATAAGGTACCTGCACATGGCTGCTGAACACTGGGCTGAGCATGTGCTCTATATCATGAAGCAAAGCAAGATAGCACGGCCAAATAAGACTAATATTGCTGAAGTTCAGATTAGAACCGTCTCTCAGAGGAGGTTATGATACATGTATCCCCCCTATGTTTGGGGGACAGGAAATAAAATCAGTACTAAATACTACTAAATAAAATACTAAAATAAAATCAGTAAGAGGAGGAGGAGATTCTTTAATAAAGTTATCTCCTCAAGCCCTTTAAGATTCTTCTCATTTACCTTTTGTTAAACAACGGCGTCAGCCTCTTCAGTAGAGCCAACTCTTTCTCTGACTCTTTATCCTTTTCTCCTACCAGGTCGCATGTTTTTTCTTCGGTCTGCCAGGATTCTCTTACTGCCACAGCCAGCAGCAGCAGCAGCAGCAGGCCAGTCCTCCAGGAGCTGTAGAGGGGGAACATCCTTTTGGGAGAGGGAGTGCATGTGTTAGGG